AACGCCGACTCTGCTCCTTACTGGTTGTGTGACACTGGCTGAGAAATCGAATCTCCCGGTACTCAGTTTCCTCATCTGCTAAATGGGAATAATCATAGTAACCAAGACATACGGATATTTTAAGATGTAAGTGTGTTAATACATGAAAGGGCTCAGAAAAGTGCCAGATATGTAGTATACGCTCAGTAAAATGCTTCTGCATTCCCCAACATGCTGAAGCAAGTCATGTTCAAATACTGCATGTGGACATTAAAGATGTCACATAATATTTTGTATTCAATACATTGGATATTTACTTTTTTCTCTTTACAGGTGTATTTTAAAAATAGAAAATCAGGAGTGTTACTGGTGTCTCATTAGGCATTTCTATAACCACATGAAAACATTAGGATTGTGAAACCATTTTTAAAAATTAATATTTTTTAAAAGAAAAATATATATGCATCTACTTGCTAGAAGGACATACATCAAAAATGTTAACAGTATCTCCAAGATTACTGAGGGCCTTTTTTTTTTGGTGGTTTATTATGTTTAAAAATTTTTTATATACCTTTTTTTAAATAAAGAAATAGCTATAACTATTATAAAGCCTTTGTTATAATTCAGATTAGGTAACTTTCTACAATTTTACTAACCCAGTGTCCTGAATGACAACTTCAAAAGACATAAAATAAACCCAGCAACTAAAATCTCTATTATTCTTTAACTTACGTAAATATGTTGGATTTATATATAGATATCTATCTATCTTTTCACATGATCTGAATCAAACATCTAGTGTTCAAAGCATGGGGAAATTTTCAACTTGCCTAGTTATTTGGTTTGCAAATTACTCTACGAAGATAATTTATTAAAGTATTAAAAATCTGAGGATATTTTGCAGTCCAATGAAGTCTTTAATTTTCAAATAGAAATGACCTTTATAACTACCAAGTTAAAAGGATTATACTAAAAAAGTCTTCGCTGCTAAAATAGTGTCTCCAGTGCCTGCCATGTCCTAGATAGAATTTTCTTTTGAGAAAACCACGGCTACTTATTTTCAGTGGCCTCATTCAAACAAACTTACATCATTACAAGACAAGATAAAGGGCACACTGGTGTTCAAAGGTGTGGAATGACTTTTCCTTCCTAGAGTTACATGGTAAGGGCAAATGATTTTTTTTCTTGAGTTTTAAAAATGAGGTCATTTAGGGTTTTGACATTTCAAAGTAAAAAAAAAAATCATATTTTCAGGAGCCTGGGTGGCTCAGTTGGTTAAGCAGCTATCTTCAGCTCAGGTCATGATCCCAGGGTTCTGGGATTGAGCCCCACATAGGGCTCCTTGCTCAGCAGGGAGTCTGCTTCTCCCCTGCCTGCCATTCCCCCTGCTTGTGCTTGCTCTCTCCCTCTCTGTCAAATAAATAAATAAAATCTTTAAAAAAATCATATTTTCTCTGTTGGACCATTTGGAATCTATGGGATTCAATGCCTCTAAAATGATTTCTAAAACTGAAAATGTCTAAATATCCTTTAAATTTAACGAATATTATGCATTTACTGAAAATCCTTTCTGATCACCACTGCTAGAGGAGAAACAAAAATAAAGTTGACCTAAAATGCTTCTTCTGTATTTTTATATCCATTAGCGTTGCATTCTCTCTAAATAGATTTTTGATATGTGATGTTTGGTGCAAAGATAAGGCTTTGAACGGACGGTAGTGTGACAGGATCCCTGACATCTTGAAGGCCCTAGGTCTCCCGTTCCTTAGAGTGACATTTTTTTGTAATCACGAGAAAAATGGTCTCTCTGGTGTACCATGAGTAAAATACCCCATTAGGAGAATTTTTATCTCAATTGCTGTACTATATAAGCAGAAATTGGCGGTGTCTTGAAATGTTCTCTCCAATTGAGGGTTCACTCCTTGGAGAACCTGGCTAATGAATGTGTAGAAATTGATGATAGAAAATGCATTGTTTCTAAATAGTGACAATACATGCAATTTCACTTGAAAATGCTTTCTTTGAACTTCTATTTCCTAGAAAATAAAACACATCCAGTTGATTAAGGAGATATTATTAAGGATTATTTCTATCTACATGAACTATCTTTACCTTGAATTATATTTTATTACATATGTTAGTGAGCTAAAGCAGGTAGAAAAGAACAGAGTTTCAGAGCTTCTGTTAGATTTCTAAGGAGAGCCTCTAATTACATATTGGTGTCTATATGAGCAAAATGAGAAATTCACTGAATTTTCTCCTCTTAATCTTTTTGAAGGCCATTGGAAAGAAAAAGTGCTATGATCTCTAAAGAACCACCAGAATTAAAGATGTAACTGCTGTCAAACATTTAAATTCTGGTTCCCAAACAAAAAATTCCGAAAGGGCATTTGTTCTTGATTTTCAGTATAAAACAGCAACTGTTCAGCCTTACGTTCCCTATAAGCAGAATTCAACATGGCGGTGGTTGAGTGCGTGATTTACCGAGAACAGGAGGAAACTGCAGGAAGGTGAGGAAAGCAGGGTAAGACCGGGAAAGAAGATTAAGTTGAAATGTGGTCTCAGCCTGGAGTCCAGGCTCAGCCTGATCCCATGGGGGCTCAGGAGTGTGAATTGTAATACAGAAGTTGCCCACCCAGAAGCAAGGGACCTGGGCTCTTATTCTCCTGGATCTTTCAGTCACTCAGCATGGGTCACCCCCTTCCGAGAATAATCTACCAGACATCTCCAGCAAAGTAGCTCCTATCAGCCCAGGCCAGTCTTCTGGAAAAGTCTGCAGCCATGAGCCGTCTGCAGCCCACACCTGCAGCAGTCCTGTGGCCGTGGGTGAAGCAGCACTAAAATGAAGGTCTGAGGGCGCCTAGGTGGCTCAGTTGGTTAAGCATCTGCCTTCGGCTCAGGTCATGATCCCAGGGTCCTGGGATCCAGCCCTGAGTCGGTCTCTCTGCTCAGTGGGGAGTTTGCTTCTCCTTCTGCCCCTCACCCTGCTCGTGCTCTCTCTCACTCTCCTTCTCAAATAAATAAATAAAATCTTTTAAAAAGTTATAAATATAAAGAAGGTCTGGGTAGGACACCAATAGCATCTGCTTGGAGCGTGGGAAGACCCCTCCTTCTGTGAGCCCCACACAAGCAGTGAGTGCTTGGACTAAGCCCTCAAAATTCACGCAGGGGGCCTAGGTGTTTCTCATTTGTTTTTTTCCCCTCTGCAGATGCTAAGCATAGATGTTAGAGGCACAGATGACTTTGGAAGTATATTCATGTCTGCTGTTAGGCATAATTTTCTGGCAATGTAAAAATTTCCTATAACCTTATTTATTGCATACCACAAAAAGCATTATTTATGAAACTTACCAGTCTAACTTTCAATTTCACTCTCTACTGGTCCTATGGGATATGATGCTGGCAGTGTAAATAAGAGCCTGGAAAATGTTACTCTTATGTTGAATGTTTTTCTTTCCTTTCATTTTTTTCTCATGTTCAATTAGCTCAACATATCTTAGATCAAAAATTTCTAAAATTCTATGCAAAAAAAAGAAGGAAATAATCATAGATGTGCTCAAAAATGTATTTACATATGTTCACTGAAGATCTGTTTAAAAGAGTGGAGTATTTCAAATATCCAATATTAGGGGATTGGAAAAATAAACTATGGTATGGCTATATGATAGAAAACCATGAAGTCATTAAAGTGTATGTCATAGAAGAATATTTAATGACATGGAAAATATTTGCAGTAAGTGAAAATAAAAGGTTAAAACACAGATAGAGAATATTATCCCATTTTATGAAAAAGTAATAATTGTGCATAAAAAGACTAGCTTTGTATACACTCATATTTACAGTGTTATGTCTGAGTGGCTTAGGGGTTTGAATTCTAGGTAGTATCTTTGGGATTTTTCTTTTCTTATATTTAGTTTAAAATTTTTCCATGATAAACCTAGATTTCTTTTGGAATAAGAAAAAAGTTATTTAATAAATTATATCAACTTGGGTCACCTGGGTGGCCTAGTTGGTTAAGCATCTGACTCTTGGTTTTGGCTCAGGTCATGATCTTGGGGTCGTGGGATCAGGCCCCGCATTGGGCTCCACACTCAATGGGGAGTCTGCTTCTCCCTCTCCCTCTGCCCCTCCCCCCTGCTTGCATGCTTGCTCTCTCTCTCAAATAAATAAATCTTAAAAAAATAAATTTTATCAACTTTTATGGACTTGCTATTAGTTATAGTTATCCAAACAATTTTCAAAATTTCCCCCCCATTCTGATAGTTCTCCATTTTTTCTCATCTTTCTCCATGAATTTATCTTCAGAATATTCAATGAAGTATGAAAATAGCTTATTTCTTTCACTGTTTTTAATACTGGTGTTACCTCCAATCATTAAACTATATTTCACTTTTTTGAAAACTAAAGGACTGCCAGTCTACATAGAAGCTTTATATTTTTAAATTTTACTTCTAATATTTCCAGTCCCTTCCTTGATTACTCTTTGCATTGTGACATCTTATTTAGAAAAATATACCAATTATTTGGGAATATGTATTATAATATATTAAGTATACAATGTAATAATAGTAGTAAACATTTTATGGCTCATACTACACATTAGGTATTTGCATTAAGGACTTTATGTATTCTAAGAAGTCATAAAGCACTTTGAAAATCCTGCACTTTAAAGAAAAAAGAAAATACTAAATACATGATGATTATCTTCTTTTCTAAGTGCTTTAGTCACCTTTAATTAATATGAAATCAGTTAGAAACTTTCACCTGAGATGGCCAGATGTGGACTGTTCAATGCAGGCACAAAATAAGATGCTGGTGTGTGCACGGAATACCAGAAGAGGATGAAATATGAAAAATTCAGTCAATCATATAGATGTTTTATGAGACAATGCTGAGCTCCATCAAAGAGTTTTTCCAATGTGTTACTTTCTTCTCATGAGGTATGATGTTACGTAGGCAAAGCCAGCCACTGGGTTTCGAAATCATGCTTAATACCACATAAGATTAGAACACTCGCTCACCTCTTTCTTTACTTCTTCTTCATCTTCCAGTGTCAATGCAGCCAATTGTTTAGCTCTTTGCTCCATCAGATTCACATATCTTATTGGATTTGACAAAGCTTCAATCACATCTAAATAAGGAAGAGACATTTTAGATCAAAGGTCCTGGATATATTGATTATCCATCATCCATTCATCCATCCATCCATCCAACCAACTAACCATTCATCCATCCATCCATCCATTCATCCATCCATGCATTCACTCATCATCTATCTACTCACCCACCCATCCACCGAGTCATCATCCATCTTCCACTCTTCCATCTACCATGTAACTATCCACTCATCCATCCAACATTTTGGAAATGGACAAGTCAGGACCCTTTGCTTCAACCTCAGGAAGACAGAACTCAAGGGAATTCAGCTCTGACAGCCAAACTGGATAGGCTCCAACACAAGATACCTCAATATTACCTAGTTTTCAGTTTATTTTGAGGGGCCCATCCATTCCAACAATGGCCCACACACTTGTCCTATTTGGCCCAAATGGTGTTTCATAAATGAAGGAAAATATCTCACATAAAAAGCCTGCTTTCCAGACTGTTGAAACAACCCAAAGACTTGGCAATATGAGTATCATTCACACATGATACTGTCTATCTGGAGTGAGTTATGGCTGCCATCTTTGGATGGGCATGTGCTCCAGGTTTGCCATAGTCTCCACCACTCCCCAATACCTTATAATCAGGCCACTTAACACCATGAGTATTTAAATTTATGATTCCTGGTTGACATTGTCACAAGTTAATTCCTCTAAACTTAGGATTTCACCAATGAAAAGGATCTGGCTTCTAAAACTGGCTGAAGATAAAGCCATTGTACAGACCTAGATACACTGCTGTAGTACCAAGTAGCATGGGTTAGAAAGTGCTGGATCCATAAGAATAATACTACTAGTAGATAAATATGCTTAATATTTTATTGGGACTTAAATGAAATTAAAATCTATTCACAAAGGCTTGAGCAATTTAATCAACATGCGCACATAAATAGAAGTGATTCTGAGGCCAGAATTTCCTGCCTATTTTTGGTCCAATTTTCCTTCCACTAAACCACAAAAATAAGGATGGCCCCAGATAGAAACATCCCCTTGACTTAGGTTGTTTACCTGCATATGTATCTGGGACATAGTCTTTCACCTCTATGTAGACAAAGACAGCTGGGAGCATCAGAGGCTGGTTCCTCTCATTCCTCAGACAGATGTAGTGATAGCCTATAGGGTGACATTAATCCTGTGTATTACATATTTTCTTCACAATATTAGTTACAACACAGGAACATCTATGCGATGGAAGTGTTTATTTTAGGTGACTTTGGATGACAAACAGGTCACTTCTTATTTTCATCACATGGTTTTACGTGAAATTATTTTTCTCATCAGACAGGAAAACAATGTTGATTCTGATTATTTTCCTTTTCAATCACGTTTTTCCCCACAAAAGAGAATCTAAAATTGTATGTCATAGACTGAATTCTTGGTCCAAATTCTTCCCCTGTATTTGATTTCTTGACTTGGGGCTTAGCCACATGCTTTGCTTTAGACAACAGGATGTTAAGGTTGTGGTGCAAACAGAGGATTCAAATGCACTTGCAGAGTCGGGCTTGCCCTTATATGCATTCCAGGGGGCGGCCATAAATGTCCATATTGTGGGTGCCACTGCTCCTTCCTCCCAGAAGCCTGAATGAGCGCACGGGGAACAGACCTAACTCCAGCCCTCAGCCTAAAGCACAGCTGCACAGCTGATCCCAGCCAAACCCTGCCAACCCACAGACTTGTGAGTATAAAGATAGAGCACTTGTTATAAACCACTGAGTTTTCAGACAGCTTCCTAAATCACCCTTGAACAATCACATAAGGCGGTGATGGTTTTCTTAACAGCTTTGATAGTTTCTTACCACACTGTCCATACCTGGCCGAATTGCCTGTACTGGCAAGATCCGGTGACCGATGAATTTACCTCCTTCTTCATAAACTGCTATCCTCAAACAGGCCAGAGAAGGAAGAACCACCTAGAGGGAAATGCAGGACACAAGTGGTTACAAGGAGCAACTCCAGGAAAAAATTAGAAAGGTAATCTTCAAATATGGAAATGACAAACATTTAAATATAAAGTTAGTAGTCTTACCACTATTTGAGCCTTTACACTTACATTTTCTTTTTTCTTTTTCTTTGAGGGAGAGAGAGAGTGGGCAAGCATGAGCAGGGAGGGGAGGGCGAGGAGGCACAGAGGCAGAGGTAGAGAGGAAGGAGGCTCCATACCCAGCATGGAGCTCCATATGGGGCTCATTCCCATGACCCCAAGATTATGACCTGAGCTGAAATCAAGAGTTGGATGCTTAACAGACTGCACCAGCTAGGAGCCCCTACTCTTATATTTTCAAAGCAAATCACTTTTATACTTTCAAAGCAAAAGCAAACATGCAAAAATAGAGGTTGCAGAACAGCTTTCAAAATGAGATTGCTTTATAAATAATTCCCAAATTAGCAACAAGTAATTGCTCATCTTTTTCCCCCACAACGTAAAACATGTGTGGAGAACATGAGGCTAACTGTATCCTTAAAAATTTAATTTTGGTAACAAGAGCAAGCTAACATTTGTGACTATTTTCAAAGTGCCAGACATTTTATAAATGTTTTCAGTGTATTGGGGAATACTTATTAATAATTCTTTGAAATAGACACTACCATTAAATCTGATCAACATATTAAAGATGGTGGGAGCACAGAGACCTTTAACACAGATATTCTCTTTGCAGGAGACAACCTTTCTAGATCTTTTGGCTAGATAAAAGCAAAGGGTATGGTAAGATAGTTTATTCCACTTTCTACTAGACTATTGTCTTCCTTTGTGTGACAAGCATGTGTGTAGAAGATTTGTTTTTTTGGTGAAGACAGACAGAAGGCCCATTCAAATGGAAAGGTTTTAACTCTATCAGACAGAATCCAGAGCAGATAGAATGACCAGCTGCCAGAGGCGAGAGGTTATAGGAAGTTTAATTAATATTCTTTTTTAGGATGTATGGGCTTCCTTCTCTCTGCTACCATATTATTCCCTACTTTTCACTTTACTTCATTTCAGTTACGATGAAAATATATCATTTACCACTTGTATTATGAGGGGATACGAGTCAATTTATATGTTTTTCTGGTCTTCCAAATGAGGTATACTAGAATTAAGTGCTTCACAACACAATTCTGAAAATCCAAACAAGTGATTCACAGAGATTCTGAACAGATTTTAAGATAGCCCCCAAAGTGCTATTGCTTTATAAATGTGTAAATTCTGGGGCGCTTGGGTAGCTCAGTCGTTAAGCGTCTGCCTTCGGCTCAGGTCAGGATCCCAGGGTCCTGGGATCGAGCCCCGCATCGGGCTCCCTGCTCAGCGGGAGGCCTGCTTCTCCCTCTCTCACTCCCCCTGCTTGTGTTCCCTCTCTCGCTGTGTCTCTCTCTCTGTCAAATAAATAAATAGAATCTTTAAAAAAAATAAAAAATAAATGTGTAAATTCCCAAATTAGCAACAAATAATTCCTCCTGTAATTTTTTTTCTGAGTGAAACACCTAGAATATGCAGTTACATCTCATATCAAGGATATGAGACCTACCTTTTTGAACACAATGGGCTCTTCTTCCCAGACAGGATTTACAGCATTTCCTTGTGATGTTTTGGTCTTAAATGCCTTCCTCCTCGTGTCCACAGGCAAACCAAACATATCCACTTCCACGTAAGTCCCGACTTTCTTATCAGAAAGAAACTGACCTGATATAATCTAGAAAATAATAAAAAAGGAACTCTTGAAAATGAGTAAGTGATATAAGAGAATACTTTAGGGAGGTACAAATGCTGGTTGAATCATAACCAAAATGAAATAGAGGCAAGAGGACAAATAAAATAGCTCTTTTGGTTAAAAAATTGATAGAGGCAAAAAAAAAAAATTGATAGAGGCACATTGAAAATGCTGCGGTTAGAAGGAGTCAGTTAGTAAGACAAAATTGTATAGGAGGAAATAAATGAACAAATACCAAAAGTTTGATGAGATTATACTTTTTGTACTTGAGATACATCTGTTAAATGTTGAAAATTGATCTTAGAGCCAACCGAATATAAAGGTTTTTCTAATACTTAAAGATGTTACAAGAGAAAAAAATTCTCATTTTAGCAGGATTGTAAATTAAGTTAAAAGGTTAAGAGTACAAATTTAAAACATAACAAGGTAGAAACTCTAGCATTTAAAAAGTTTCCTTTTGTTCATAAAACTCAACTTGAAGAAGTGGTTGTAACACTGTTACTCAATTCTCGGAGTTGTTATACTTTTATTTTTTTTATTTTTTTAGTTTTAAGTAGGCTCCAAGGCAGGGCTTGAACTCACAACCCTGAGATCAAGACCTGAACTGAGATCAAGAGTCAGACACTGAAGCGACTGAGCCACCCAGGTGCCCCCAGAGTTGTTATAGTTTAAATAAAAAGCTACAATGATAATAAAAACAACACCCAAATATCGACTTTAAACCATCAAACACAGTTTATCATCACTCCTAACCCCAACCCGTTAGCCGTCCACACAATTATGGGTATCCTTGCTTAGCTATAAAATTTATGGATATTGTAGAGTTCAAAGAGTTTTAAAATCACATATCCTGGTGGCTAGGAGCTTTCTGATCTCAAGTCCGTGAAAGGGGACAGAATTATCAAGACTGTGGTGGGGCCAGAAGTGGGACATGATGTCAGTCTGTGAATGGCCCTCAAGGGCTCAGCGAGGCCAATGAGCTATTTGCTGATGTGGTTAGAAATTCCAAACCAGTTAGAGAGAAAAACGAGGAAGAGGCTGTCTGAATTTGCCCCCAGGATAGCTCATTTCTTCTGAATGTTCTCTTTAGCCTGAGTGTCTGGGAACTGCCAGCAATGAGCTCTATTTAATTTGAGGTTCTAAGGGAGAACAACTTAGCAGACATTTTATATGTGTGAAACTTCCAAGCTTGTGAGTCACACTGGGAAATCAGATGCACCAAGGATTCCGTGCACTTAAGGTGTTTGGTTAAAGCAGAGGTTCTTGGGGAACCACTTGGGTGGCTCAGTCGGTTAAACATCTGCCTTCAGCTCAGGTCATGATCCCAGGGGCCTGGGATGGAGCCCCGCGTTGGGCTCCCTGCTTGGCGGAGAGTCTCCTTCTCCCTTTCTCTCTCCCTCTGCTTCTCCCTCTGCCTCTCCCCTCTGCTTGTGCTCTCTCTCTCTCTCTCTCAAATAAATAAATAAATAAAATCTTAAAAAAAAATAAAGCAGAAGTTCTTAACTAAATTAATGACCTTCAATGTTCCCATCAGGAGAATAGGATGGTGGAACATCTTTTGGGCACCCAAGTCCATTCTGACGCTAGGAAGACTAGGTCAGAAGGTCAAAACAAAGGCACCACTGGAGGGACACGAGCCGCCTCTTGGCTCTGGCCATCATGTGAAAGGCAGGACGGGACAGCAGCCTGGCCTGTTTGTTCTGAGGACACTGACCCCTCGACAGGCATGGCTCCATTCTGGACTCAGGCAGCACCTCATGTCTGTTTGGGTTTCAACTGTTTCCCCTCAACTCACTTTCCTGTTTCTATGTCATCATCTTCTAACTACTTACACCTTCATGGTAGAATTTTAAAATATATATATATTTTAAATTATTTATTTATTTATTTGAGAGACTGACAGAGTGGGGAGGAGCAGAGGAAAAGGGACACACAGGCTCCCCGCTCAGCACGGAGCCCAACGTGGGGCTAAATCTCATTACCCTGAGATCATGACCTGAGCTGAAACCAAGAGTCAGACACTTAAATGACTGAGCCACCCAGGCGCCCCGAATTTAAAAAAAATAAATAAATAAGCAAGCACACATGCACAAAACAAGATGAACTGGCACACAAGAACAAAATTATTAGTTTGATCCAACTATAACAATAATTGACAAGGGTTCTATAAATAACATTTTGTCAGTGTGTGATGCTTAAGAGTTTATCTTAATCAAACTCGGCAGGAATGAAACATCCTTTGCTGAAAAGAATTTCCTAAAATAAACATAATCTCGAAGCTCTAATTCTGCCAACTCCACTCTTCAGATACATGGCATGAAATAATTTCAAAAGATATAATTTTGAGACACTTCACTGAAATTTTATTTTTAATCTTTGGTGTCAAGTGACATAAATTTTAAAGTAAAAATGGGCTCAACAAGCTTAGGGTAGATAGAAATTAGCAAAACTGTTACTTTTTTTTCTTTTTTTTTACATAGTCTTTCATATGCCTTTGGTTTAAGGTCAGTCTGAAAATTGCATTTATATCCAATACAAAACGTTTCTTAGTTCCACAGTTACCCAACTAAACAGGAAAGAAAGGAAACTTTATTTTATTTTATTTTTTAAAAAGATTTTATTTATTTATTTGACAGAGAGAGAGCTAGTGAAAGCAGGAACACAAGCAGGGGGAGTGGGAGGAGAAGCAGGCCTCCCGCTGAGCAGGGAGCCTGATGCGGGGCTCTATACCAGGACCCTGAGATCATGACCTGAGCCGAAGGCAGACGCTTAACGACTGACCCACCCTGGCACCCCAAGAAAGGAAACTTTAAAGAAGTAAATGAAACAGCCACAACAACCAAGAGCTTATAGAATTCACATAAAAAGCTCCTATGAAATGATTTTTCATTCATAGCACAAAATATTTTCTTACAGCTAAAAAAATTATATGATGTAACATCAATTTCAAAGACTGCAGAAATAATTTTGAATTAATATTTTAAGGTCAGATGTATGTTTAATGAAGCAATTCTTTTACTTAATATCACTACTCTGTGTTTTAAGTCCCTGAATACTGATAGATTTTCAAAACAGTAACTTGGGAATTTTATTCAATAGTTAACAATTAATTGAGAGAATACCTTTTTTTCTCTAGTTTTGCTCAGGGTGGCTATTTTTCTAGAACTAATGGAGAAATAAAAGACCAGAAGATTTCTCCAGCATAGGTCACTGATATTTGTACCAAAAGAAAAGACCAACCATGGTGACTCTTCAAGTTGGTTTATTGATTTAGGGTCCAATTTTTACCCTATTAAAGAATAGGACTTGGTCCCTTTATCTCATGCATATGGCTTCTGAAACTTATAATTCAGATTTGGTCCTTAAAGGAAAAATGCATGAAGAAGGTGGAGATATTGCTAGCTCTAAATTTTTGATGACTAAACTACTTCTTTATGCAAAATAGGTACTGTTTGAGACTTTTGTTGGGGACAGTTTTGTAATAGAGAGGTACGTACCTTGACAGATAAAGTATTGGCTACTATCCCATCCACGATGCCTTCGGTGAATGGATCAAAATGCTTGTCAGGTCTCCTCATGAACTCTGGCTTTAATCTGTAGCCACTTTTCCCATTGTATTCGTACATCCCCATATTTATTTGCATAGCCAGGTCTGAATATTAAAAACACAACCCTTATTGTGACAATATTTGTGTTTAGAGCAACAAAGTAAGATTGTATTACAGTCCATTTTTACTCCCCTATTTAAAAATAAACAAATATTATTATTCATTGAATAAATATTTATTTAGAATAAATATTTATTCATTGTAGAAATTTAGGAAACACAGATAAGAAAAAAAAGTCAAGCTGTCATCTCCAAATCTAGAGATAAACCGCTGCCAACTGGTTGGTGTATATTCTGTTTTTCTCCTTCAAATATGTTTTGAACATGTAGTATATCCATTTCACTAAGTATTTGTCTGCTTTAATTTTAACAGCTGTACAAATTCTTCATTACCTATAGTGGTTTGATGAATACCATTGTTATGAAATCTTTGAAGACATCATTAATGGCATTATTAGGAGTGACATTTCTAGGTCAAAAGATGTGTTCCAGGAAAAAGATGTGTACTTTTTGATAAGTCTTGCCAAAATGCCCTTCAGAAACCTCATGCCACTTTAAACCTCTCATCCATGCTTCTGAGCCTTCCCCACACCTCACCAACCTTGAACGCTAGAATTCTTTTTTTAATTTATAGGAGAAAAGGATTTCTTTTTTTTAATTTGCATTTCTTTTGTTACTTACCACCTACATATAATTACACATTGACTCCTTTCTAATGGACAAAACTTAACTGCCAAAGTTTTCCTAAGGCTCAGTCAGCGGTATGAAACGGATGTCCACACTAATTGCAATTGGTAAGGTTTTTTTAAAAAAATTTAAAGTCATAGTGAATCTGGGAAGCTGTTCTAGGTTGTTCTAGATTGTCTGAATCATGACTCATCTCTGCTTAGGTGGATAATAGCGAAGTGACTGTAGAATTATTTCAGTTCCAAGTAACCAATCATTTTTAGAGCAGGGAAAATAAGTGAAATTTTATCTGTCAACTTATTAAGCTACGGTAACTATGATACCACAGTTGGACAAAGTACTAAAATAAGAAAGTGACCGACTTAACATACTTGAAAAAATGGACGCCAAAAGCCTAAAAAATTACAATAGCAAATCGTATGTTCTAAAAAATAACACACAACAAGGAAGTAGAGTTTATCCCAGGAACAAAAGGACAATTACATATTAGGAGATCTATTTACTCACAAAAGAAGAAATGAATATATGCTCATCCCAACAAATTTCAAATAGACATTTAATAACATGGACATAAATTCCTAAAGCACTGTTAGTCAATTAGGACAGTTGCATAGAGTAGTCCCCACTTCTCCATGGGAGATGTGTTCCAAGACCCCCCAGTGGATGTCTGAAACCACGGATAATACCAAACTCTACATATACTATGTTTTTTTCCTATACACACATAGCTATGATAAAGTTTAACTTATAAATTAGGCATGATAAGAGATTGACAACAACTAATAATCAAATAGAACAATTATAACAATATACTGTAATAAAGGTTTTGTGAATGTAGTCTCTCTCTTTCAAGATATCTTACTGTACTGCACTCATCCTTTTTGTGATGATGTGAGATGATGAAATGCCTACGGGATGAGATGAAGTGAAGTAAATGACGTAGGCATTGTGACATAGCATTCAGCTACTTTTGACCTTCTGACAAGTCAGAAGAAAGAGCATCTGCTTCTAGACCCCCGTTGACCATGGGTAACTGAAACCTCAGAAAGTGAAGCCACAGATAAGAAGGGCTATTGTACTCCTTTAGTGTGTGAAAGAGTATCTGTCTCAGTCACAGTCAATATCTACTCAGTGAAATTCCTCTTAGTGTCAGGATGAAGAGAAAGCTGCCCACCCTTAATACTATTATTTAATATTGTTCTAGAATGGTCAGTTCAAAGCATTAGGAAGGGAAAAAACATAGATGTGATTAAATTGTTGTGTGTGTCTACCTGAAAAACCCAATAGAAGCTACTAGCAAAATGGGCTATTATGAGAGCTTGGGAGGATGATTATGAAACATTTGTTCATAAAATAAATATACAAATATCAATATCCAGGAACAATTTGCTAAAAATATAATGTTTAAAAAAAAAAGGTTTTCATCTAAAGAAACTAGACCACAGATGAAAATGTGTGATTTTGCTGAAGGATATAATGTAAGAACTTTTAAGGTGAAGAGAAAAACATTCTTTCTGTGATAAGAAAACTAAAAATTAAAAGGTGTTGGTTTTCTTCAAATTTCCTCAAATTATAAATTTAATGTGATTTTAAAGAAAATAATTTTTCCAGTGGGGAGAGGGAAACACAATATAACAAACTAATGTAAATTTAATGTGATTTTATTCAAAATCCCATTTCTTTCTCAGTGGGGGAGATGGAAATAATAATAAGTAAATTAAATTCATTTGGAATAGGAGTCCCACTGGCAATAGCAAGAAATGACTAAAAACTAATAGCCATGAAGGAGAATTTCCACTTCCAGGTATTAGACCATATTATTAAACATTACAATAATAACTGAGCTATTGGCTCCAGGAAGGCAGACAAATTTATTAATAGAGGAGAATATAACTGGAAGAAAATGGACCCAAATTAACCACACCAAAAAAGGCTGCATCTATTAAACTGTAATTTCAGTTTAGTGTAAAAAGAGATTATGTATCACAATTAAATTTGGGTGGTTGAAAGGGTCAAATTCAAATAAAAAAGAAACCATGAGAGAAACAGAAGTAATTATGGAGCTAATCCTGGGATGGAGAGCCTATAATAATAAAAATAAACCAAGACTCCATTAAATAAAACATTAATCAGCCCAATCTCATCTGTTTCACAAAATATGACAACATGCCCATTATATAAAAAGTGCTGTTATAAGTGGACAGGAAAATTGACAATAATCCTAAATATGCACTTCATAAAAGCAGAAATATAAAAATCAAAATCTATATTTAAAATGTTCAACCTCAATAATAATCAAAGAAATAAAATTAAAGCAACAATGAGATAATATTTGGTCTAGAATATTATTATTACTATTATTTAATGGTAATACTTAACCAAGATCTCAAATGAGAGGGAACACTTCATATCATACATTGTTGATGGAGGAGAAATCCAGCGTAACATTTTTTTTTTTGACTTGTTAAAGGTACAGATTTTTTCAAATCATTTAATTTTTTTCATCATGATAAGTGTCCTCTTAATCCCCATCAACCTATTTCACCCATCCCCCACATGTCTCCCCTCTGGTGACATCAGTTTGCTCTCTATGGTTAAGAGTCTGTTTCTTGGTTTGTCTCCCTCTCTCTCTTTTTTCTTTGCTCATTGGTTTTGTTTCTTAAATTCCACATATGAGTGAGATCATATGGCATTTGTCTCTCTGAGTGATTTATTTCACTTAGCATTATACTCTCTAGCTCCATTCATGTAGTTGCAAATGACAAGATTTCATTCTTTGTATGGTTGAATAATATTCCATTATATATATATATATATATACCACATCTTCTTTATCCTTTCATCTGTTGATGGATACTCGGGCTGCTTCCATAATTTGGCTACTGTAAATAATGCTGCAATAAACATAGGGCTGCATGTATCCCTTTGAATTAGTGTTTTTTTTTTATTTTTCGGGTAAATAACCAACATTTTTGTTGGACAATTTGGCATATTGCATGAAGGTTTTTAAAATGTTCACATCTTTTAACAGAGTACTTCTATTTTAGGAACTCTTCCAACATTAGGACATAGACTTGACAATTTATATTCAAGATGTTCTCTGAGCATTATAGTAGAAAAAAAATTCCCTAATGTCCAGTGATAGGAAATGGGTTTTAGTGAATTGTGAAATGTGCTTAATATACAGTTATTAAAATTCATATTTCTGTATAGCACTTAAATATATATAAATATATACATACCTACACATTTTTTTAAAATTTTATTATGTTAATCACCATACATTACATCATTAGTTTTTGATGTAGTGTTCCATGATTCATTGTTTGCGTATAACACCCAGTGTTCCATTCAATATGTGCTCTCTTTGATACCCATCACCAGGCTAACCCATCCCCCCGCCCCCTCCCCACTAGAACCCTCACTTTGTTTCTCAGAGTCCATAGTTTCTTATGGTTTGTCTCCCCCTCCAATTTCCCCCCTTCATTTTTCCCTTCCTACTATCTTTTTTTTATACATTTTTAAACAAGGAATTAAATTTAAAAGCCTGTATATACATAACCAAAAAACCTTATAGATTACAAAGCCAAAAAGTTAACTGTGTTGACTTTCTGAATGGTAGTGTTCCTGGCAGTTTTATTTTTTTCTTTACACTTTTCTGAATTTTCCAAATTTTCTACAATGTATACATATTAATTTTTTAATTTTTTAAAAAGATTTTATTTATTTATTTGAGAGGGGGAGAGAGAGAGTGAGCAAGAATGCAAGAGCAGGTGGAAGGAGAAGAAGACTCCCCGCTGAGCAGGGAGCCGAACACAGGGTTTGATCCCAGGACCCTGAGACCATGACCTGAGCTGGAGGCAGATGCTTAACCAGCTGAGCCACCCAGGTGCCCCTCTACATATTGCTTTAAATAGCATAAAAATTTTTCTTTGCAAATAATGCAAAACCACTAAAAACAAAGACTTGTTTATAAACTATTAAAGACAGTTTTCTCTGTTTTCAAAGGTTACCTTTTTTTTGTATGAAATTCACTGAAATTTGTTTCTTTTTTCGTCTGGAAATGTGGCTTTATAACAGAACGGAAATGAACTTTAACTGTGCTACTTACCCACAGTTTGAAAATTAAGTGCAACCATTTGGCAACCCGCATTCCAGAAGAGCTGAGGCATGTAGTTAGATGAATCCACACGGGTTCCTTTTGGATATATCCTGCTAAGCTGCATTTTGTTATATCTGGACCATCATGTTAAGTAGTGAATACAATTATAAAAATAATTAACCAATACTATTAACTGAGAGGCCACCTTCCTTCCTTCTACCATTGGAAAATGAACTAACTGTTGATGATCTCATTGGGCTAGTCGATGAAAAAGGTCAAAAACTTCCTGAACACACAGAATAAATGTGCTTTTATAATAGAAATGTACTATCACCTTTGCAGAGCCTTGTGGGTAAAAACTAATGGGGTAGCAAAAATGACCGAGTCACAGGCTTCACGATGAAGGACACATGAGGAAGCTCAAGCATGTCTAAGTATGTGAGAGCGTGATATTGTCTTTGGCGGAAAGCTAATGTGAACTGCATGGCTATTTTTGAAGTGCTCTCTGCTCATTTTTTAACCTTCTCTGATAATGCTGTTTGCCAAGACTGTGGTACTCTTTATAATGGATAACAAGGTAAATAGAGCACAGAAGGTGCTGACCTTGTTTTGTATTTGAGTTCCTCCTGCCATCAGTTTTCGATCCTGAGAACCATTAGCTCTCGACTACTACGTAGCTATTAAACAATGCTATGTCTTTAAAACCTGGCCGACTCTTCCTATTACCAAATTTGGCATTGGTTGGCTAAGGTTGTGAGCTTGGGCAGGGAACAAGTTACCTAGCTCTGTGTGTTGGTTTCCCTCCTTAATAGATTAAACAATCCCTACATTCTAGGCCTATTGTGAGGGTTCAAAGAGATAAGACAGTGAATGGAAAGTCTATCCAAGAGGCAACACTTAAGAGTGTGACTTTGTGTATGGAGTTTTACATTTGTTTCCTCTCCTGTTGTGGATGAGTTCTAAGGGTGACTTTATTTTTATTCTGGGACTTGCTTCATGAAATTGGGCTGTTTGAGACATTTACTATTTATTACTTTCATGAAAAAAATTTAAAGACTTGTTTCATTTTTGATTTATGGATAAAAATTGTAAGTTTTTGTTGTCAGGACTATCAACAAAGCCATTATTGGTAATATATATTTATATTCTTCTTTTTTAAGTTTTTTTTTTTTTTTTGTAATCTCTACACCCAACGTGGGGTTGGAACTCATGATCCCAAGATCAAGGGTCACATGCTCCTTTGACTGAGCCAGCCAGGCGTCCCAAAATTTATATTCTTATCATCATCCCAACTATCTTCTGATTGGACACCTATTACACGTAAGGATGTGACATGCCAAGAAAGTTTATATTTACATATATATACATTCTGTCTTACATACAGTCTATCTGACATATGTATAAAGTATATACACACATTTTACTAATGTTGTCCCTAATCCAAAAGGTTAGCCGTAAAGCTGGTATCACGGTTTCTGTTTTACAGATGAGGAAATTCAGAAAGATTAAGCAAATTGCCGCATGAGAAAGGGCTTGATGGTGTGAAAATCACCTTGATTTTTAGCTTCCTTTACTGCAGAGACCAATGCGAGGCCACCCTCCTCAGCCTCGCCTATGAAACCTGAAACTATTTCTCACACCCACGTGGCAGTCAGAAGCCATTTCATACACCTTTCTCCTTATTCAAGACAAAAATCAAACAAATGGCTTCAACTGGGTCACTTCAGCCTTCAATCGTCAAATCAAGGATACTCTACAAATTCCACTGGAGACTTCGTCAGTTGCTCGAGGCCTTTGGTTTCCACGAAGGAAGACATTTCAAAACTTCTGTTTCTTTCTGAGTTCATGACAAGAAAAACAGGCGAGAAGTAAAATGTAATGGTATAAATTATAACATGTAAGAAGTAGGCGCATGTTCAGTGAAGTTAGGGCAATGAATCCCCAATGTAACTTTATAAATGTATCTCTTTCAGTGAACCATTTATCTGTACCCAAAGTTGAGTCTTCTAGGAAGCTGTTTCTTCTAATTCTTACTACCTGAGTCAGCTCTGCTTATGGCCTTGTATTAGGATGGGGAAATGAATTTTAGATGTGGTAAATGAAAGCTGTTTTGTTAAAAGAAAAGGAGCCCTAGGGGAATCTTCTGTTTTAAATCCATTCAGATTGGTGTCTCTGACTCTCTCTTTGATTATCGCATTGTCACTGCCTCAGTTTGTATGCGCCCCTTCAATTCAAACGGCTAACGTGACATTAAGATCAGGGTATTTCAAAGCAGAAGAATCCTTGGAAATTTTCCAGTCTGATGGCCTCATTTTCAGATTAGATAAGAGAGGCCTGAGAGATGAATGTGCTAGAGGTCTCAATAGAATACAGGAGCAACATTTTTAAAGTGGAATCCAAACTTCCCATTAGAATGGAAGAAATAAAACAAAGTTATCTTAGTCGTTAAAGACTAAGAGTCCAACAGCTTCTCTGTCCTCCTCCCAGCTAAAAACCCAAAGTGTCACACACAATACTGAGGCAAGTGTGGTTAGAAAGCTCTCAGGGTTGTTTTTTTTTTTTAATTTATGTTTATTTTGTTTTAAGATTTTATTTATTTGAGAGAGAGCGAAAGTGTGGGGGCAAGTGGGGGGAGGGGCAGAGGGAGAGACTCTGAAGCAGACTCTGGGCTGAGTGTAGAGCTGAATTTGGGGCTCGATCCCAGGACCCTGAGATCATGACCTGAGCTGAAACCAAGAGTCTGATGCTCAACTGAATGAGCCAGCAAGGCACCTCGACAGTTCTCAGTTTGTATTTATTTATTTAAAAAAATTTTTTTAAGATTTTATTTCTTTCTTTCAGAGAGAGAGTGAGCAGAAGAGAGAGAGAGCATAAGCAGGGGAAGGAGTAGAGGGAGAGGGAGAAGCAGACTCCCCACTGAGCAGGGAGCCTGACGTGGGGCTCCATTCCAGGACTCTGGGATCATGACCTGAGCCAAAGGGAGACACTTAGCCCCTTAACCTACTGAGCCACCAGGTGCCTCCAGCTCTCAGTTTTTAAACAGTTATTACCTTTGAGTCATTTTCTCCTCTTTGATGCCCACTTTCCATAATTAAAGCCTCATTTTTCTTCCTAAGTCATTCCTAGACTCTTTTATCCATCTCCTTACCTTTCCCCAATTTAATCAACTCTACAGGAAACCCTTACTTCTCTTATTTTGGTCCATCAGAAACCTATTTTCATATGACTAGTTATTTAAGCAAGACTGCCAGTTAAAATTCAGTCCATTTAGTAGGTGCTTTTGTAATGTATGTTCAGTGAAACACAAGGAGAAAAGTACTTGTTTGTCAATCTTTGGCCCATGCTGTTGTTAACAGGTTCTGAAAGATTATCAATGCATCAGTTCCTTCTCAACTTGGCTACTTGTCTAGGAACTTTTGTCTCATGAATTAGGAAAACTCATTTTACAGCCAATGAAAGTTATAGAAATATAAAAATAACTACTTTAGGACATTTCAAACTGAACAACTTGCGGTAAGATGTATCAGTACTTGTAAAAATAAAAAAAATGTTGAAATATTTATATATAAACTGTATTGAAAGTTAAATTCCTCATTGTAGAGATCTAGATACTATATACTACAAAGTTAAGGCTCTTTGGGTAAAATTATACACTTATACGTAAGTGTGTTATGTAGAAGCTTAGATTTTGATGTATTTATAAAACTATGCTTTATCAGAGCCTGCTATATTTAAGCAAAAATTCAGCCTTTAAGAGCACACTCATAAAAGCAGCTAAAATGTCCCAAGGATTCTCTTCATAGCATCTTACATTTCATCAAAAAAAGGGCAATTTCATAAAAGGGCTCTTTTCTTTAGGTGGGGGAAAGATGCTATTTTTTTCTTTGCATCCAGTACGGATGTGTACTTGGATGAAGGGAGAACAAAAAAATGATGTGAAGTTAATGTTATCAAACAGGCTGGACAAACAGCATGTGGGTGAACTGACTGATTGTGTTCTATTTCTAGTCATCAGGGCTAACCACTTCTCTGGCCGCTCCCCTTCCGGGGGATGCGTAAATAGTTTATTTCAATACTGTCCCTTATCTAATGGAAGGAACGCATTATGTTGTTGAACAAAAACAACTGTGAAACTCTCAGTTAGCTGTACTCTAGTATCTTTCAGATAACCGTGGATGGCCTACAGCCCTATTAAGAATTTTGGGGAAACATCGTAGAATAAACTTCTCACACAGTTATGATGGTCCACCCAGGCATATATTCAAGACTTTCCAGAAGAGTTCTGTTAAGGGTAATATTCTTTGTTCTAACTACCTTGTATTGAAAGGATACTCATTCTAGGCTACATTAGGGGTTCTTCTCCAGGGATAACTTACTTTTTGAAGTTTCAAATGACTCAAACTTGACTGGCTGAATATAGTTCACCAGGTTAGACATCTCTTCGGTGGCCATGGCCTCGCTCCCTGCAGTCCCCTGGAAGCAGAATTAAAAATAACATTCCCAGAGTCAGCATTACCTTCCCAAGGATTATTTTTCCCAGGGCAAAGATGCAGGGACCCACGAGAGAGAACATCATCCCTCCTCTTCTGAAAATTATTGCCAATAGAAAGTTCATCACAGGAGAAAACTCACTCATAAGTTAGGCAAGTGTGGGGTGGTAAGAGGGAGGATTAGGGACAGGTCCCAGTGTGCCATCCCCCCCCTCCCCCCGGGCACTGGCCTCCAGAATAAGAATCTCCATTTTACTAAGGTGATTCAATGCACATTACAATCTGAGAAGCACTGAGCCCTATTTCACCTGCCATAGCATAAATTCCTTAGCTGATGTCTAAGGTTAATACATCAAGAAATCAATAATTCTCTGTACAATATGAAAATTAGTATGTAGGTAACTGCCAGTGAACCAAAAAAAAAAAAAAAGTTGCCTTGTGGAAATAGGTTGGGGTGGGTGAACAGCTATTGCTTTTCTTTACAAACATTCATCTCTCCCTGCCTTCTTAGTTCCTGGGTGCCTAGTAGGCAAGCAAACAATTCAGGGTAGGGGTCAGTAGCTCAGGTTCTGGAGCCAGATGGCCTAATTTCAAATCCCAAACTCACCACTTAGAAGCTGTGCAATCTTGGGCAAGTTACTTAACTGCTCTGTGCCTCAGTTTTCTCACCCATTAAATTAGAATAAAATCTGTCGTGATAGCATCTAGAGTTTTGGGGATTATTAAATGAGTTAGTTGATGTGAAAGAGCTCAGAAAAGTACCTGGCACATAGTAAAACCTCATGTTACTTTAGCTATGATTAGCTATTACATATCACTTTGATAAAGTTTTAATGCAGTATTGATATGGACAGACCTCTGTAGACTGATCTAATATTTTCTCCCATTCTCAGAAGACAGAATGCATGGAGACATGATTTCTTTTTAAAATTTCTGTAGCAATATTTAGGTTAAATGTGAATTGGAAAATATTCATTTGCAAATGGACCATTCAATTAGTAAGACAATTTTAAATGATCAAGAATCAGTCATAAATGTTATGTGCAACTGAAGTAATTATCAGGCAGAACTACTTTACCAAGCATATTAATAGTTTTCCTCCTGGACATTGACTTGAAATTTAGTGGATGAACATAGTTAATTAATCAAAACTTTAGACTACATGAAAGGAAGTAAGTACCAGAGGAAGAACATCATGTAAGAATAGCTTATCATTCATTATTTATCCCTGAGACAGATGCTTTCCAATATATTGGAAAGCAGATTCAGTATAAACTTTTGGACCAAGACCTTGCTACAACAAAATTTTAAAATTCCAATTGACCTATCCCAGATTCACTTCTAGATTCTGTGCAAATAATATCTCTGAGCTGATGAGATTCTTTGGGACGTTCGAGCTTACATCAATAAGGATCTCTAGTGGTTACAAAATTACAATAATGGAATGAATGTCACATTTCTGAACATTTCTCCCAAATCCCATGTCTTCTCTGGATTTGGGGCCATTTGACAATCCATTCAATTGCCTCAAAAATTGAAGCAGGTGGTTGGATGTCACGAATTGAATTTTTGCATTCACCCTCCAGATACCCCATTTGATGGAAGGCAGTCTCAGCAGCATTGTTCATTATAGAGAGCTTTGCTCAATGCCATGCTAACTCCTTTAGAGACCCCAGCATGCATTTTCATTTTCCAACAGGGTAACCCAAAGTTTTAAAGTGAACTATGACTCTTTTGACCACTAGATGGCAGAAGGTGACCATGAACTGTATCCAAATGGCGCCTTCTGGGTGGGCAAATTAGGGGAAGCGCCTCTGTGACCCAAAGTCAGTCCCTAGATACCTACCTCATCCATTGAAGATTTTTTACAGTCATCATCATCATCGTCGTCGTCACTCTCGGTATCAGCTTCCCCTGTGGAATTTTAATAAAAGATCATGAGGTAACAGGTTTGAAGGTTCGAAGCACATGCTAACAGGTGCATTGCCAAAAATTTCCTTGGGTATTGGCCTTTCATGGTTTTAAAATGATTCCTTTGGATATTTAAATTTTATTAATTATATAATTATACCGAGATTTTGAATATGGATTTTTTTCTCCAAGTTTCATTTGCGAATACATTTGAAATGCCCACCTTCTATTGAAAATGCTTAACAATTTTATCTGTATGTTTAAAAAAATATATGGCATCATCTACAGTTTGCTATGGTACACACATCCTATATTGATGTGTACATTGTCTTTCAGGGTCTCTATGACCCTAAAAGGGATAAACTATCCTGTCCCACTTTTCCCTCTTTTTCTGAGCCCTGACTCTTCCATGCGATGTTTGGCCAGTGCTCAGTGAATTTGTGGCCACTTTTCCAAGGCCATAGGGGACCTCATAGTGAAGGCCAAGGACAAGAGCTAGGACAGAAAGGGTGGGGCTGTGGCAGCATACCTAACTACACAAAGACTGTAAGCTAACTATTGTACCCTATGATTTGCCTGCAGGCTTATTTAATGGATGCATTGTCCTCTAAGCAATGCACGTATCTTAGAAAATGGCTAGGTCCCGTTTTAAAAAACAGGATAAAATGCATGAACCCTTAACATAGTGATGCATGGAAATCTACTTCAATCAAACATAATTCAGCCTCATCTTTAGCCAATACACAGTCATTTCAATGGATTCTTTTTCCTCTCTGAAAATTTGGTGGTTGATTTTGCTACTTTAAATATTCATACAGCATGAGGTATTAAATTCTGCCACAGCTCTGGGCCTCAGTCAGACCCAATGATATCAGTTACGTAAAAAGATTTTCAAGTTAAAAACTACAGAAAGCATTATTTGATTTGACTACTATCTTTTGGCATTCACATGGGGCAATAATAGGATGAGCCCAGTAGATGGCAATATTAGCTCAACAATGAGGCAACTTGCACGTGCAAGGCCCTCCCCCTCAAACCTTCTGAAAGTTAGCCTCCCCGTTTAATCTATATAAATGACACAATGTCCACAGCATGTCTTCGAAGAAGCTTATACATATTTTCATTTGGCTGACGAAGTTCAATCAATTACTCAATGACAGCAGTGGGCAAAGTATTTATGAAATGTCTTTAGAGGGAAAAGATTTCTGGGACCAACAAATCATTATTTATGGCTTGTTTATTAAAAGAAAGCACATACAGCCACTTTATGATGTTGATATTGTGTTAGTTAATAAGATGAATCCATTATATTTTGGTTAGAAAACATATTTATATAGAGACATGTTCTTTTAGGAAGTTGGCACTCAAGTTTTTTTAATAATCAAATGTGTTGCTCCAAGTTCTTTTAACCAGTTTTTGCTTTTTAATTAGAGAGGGGATTCTTTTTATAGAGCAATTTAAAAGTTTCTTTGGCAAGACCATTTACACAATGCTTTACAGGACCTAAAAACACACCAATCATTTCAAATACTCTATCAGGTCATTCTTTGGTGTATGGGGGGAAAGAAAGAACTTGTCTTCCATGACTCTATGAGCAGACCCTGGTTTCTCCCTTATAAGTCTTTGGCAGGACCTTGGAGGCATCTTAAGACCCTAAAACCTTGCACCATTAAAAAAAAAAATCTACTTTACCCTAGTTCTTTAAGACAAGTGTACTGACAAAGGGCTGAATCCTGGAAAAGGCACCTGGCCAACAGGGGCCATGATAAATAAATTAGTTTTGAAATAAGAACCACTGCATGTTTTTTGAGTTACTTGAGTTCCCATTACCGGAGACCATCTACAAACCAAATGGTAAATTAGCAGTGCTCATTATTCAAGAGCCTACCTACCTATTTAAATGTCCAAAATTTTCCATTGAAAGAAAGATTGCACAACAGACCATGGGGCTAGCTTAGGAAATCTACTGAATTACTAACAGATTGCTGCTTTTACTTTGTATTAAGCAATGATGTTCACCGCCTATAAAAATCGTTATTTGTGTTATGCATCCAGTTAATAAGAGGGACAGAACTGATAGGGAGAACAGCACACAGGAAAAAATTTCTCCATGCAAAGGAAGACCTGCTTTCCTCCCTGGATTCGAGAGGTTCAAGAATTATGCTAGGTAGCCTCTTAATAATATTTCCTCCAAACCTTCAAAAGAACATTCATACTGAGAACACACTGTTTTTGAGAAGAGATTCAGAATTGCATAATAATGTTTGAAATACACATTCAAAAACTATCCCCCCATAAAACCTTTCAAAGAATTGTATAATATCTGTTGATAAGGATTTTTATCTAACCCATAAAAGATATTGGCCATTGAGATGGAAAAATTAAAAAAAAAAAAGATAAATCAGTGTCTTGGTCCACCCGCCCATTGTCCTGGAGTTTATATTTTAATTTAAAAAATTATTCTGAAGTCTTTTAATTGACATATGATAGGTATATAGAGAAGTATACATACTTGTACGTGTATAGAGTGATGAATTTGCACTGACTACGCAGACCTTAGTAACTGTTACTGAGATCAAGAAACAAAATAAAACCAGTGTCCAGAGGCCTCCTCGGATCCCCTTCCAGCCACTTCTTCAAGGGTCACCATTTCCTGACTTCTAAGTGCATAGGCTCATTCTGCCTGTTTTTGTACTTTATATGAATGGAATCAATACGGCGGATACTTTTTTGTATTTGATTTCTTTTACTCAACATTATGTTTCTGAGATGTAGCCCTATTCTTGTGTGCAAAGGTAGATCGTTACTGTTGCATATTATTCCACAGTGTGAATATACTACAACCTCTTTATCTGTTGATGACATTTGGTTGGTTTCCAGTTTTTAGCTGTTGTGAGTAGCGTTGTGTTAAGCAATTCCTTGCATCTCTCTTGATGACTGTCTATAAACATCTTTGTCCAGTATATGCCTAGGAGGGGACTCCCTGGGGCCCAGGGTGTGCATATGTTCAGTTTTTGTAAATACCGCCAGTTTTCCAAAGTGTTCCAATGTCAGTTAAACTTTTCATTGAAGAACTTCCTAGATCCAAGCTTCAAGCTTCCTCCCCTTATTCACCTTCCAATCAGGAGAGCTTCCTAATGCCCTTTCCAGAATGCCAAGATTCTGATTAAAGCTAGAAGAGAAATCAGACTAAATGACAAGCAATTCAAAGGAAATGGGGTGACCACTTGGAATTCTTTTCTCATCAACCACAAAAATCTATTTCAACTTAAATCTAAAAGGAAAATTAATGATATTAAGCATCACCTAGGAGCTTTGACAGATAATTCAAGTAACTTTACCTTTTTACATTTTAAAAGAGATCTATAAAATATGGATAAGTGGAATTGCCCAGAACTCTTCAGCATATCATCAATGATAATATATCCGGTGAATGTCTGGTGCCCAGACCTAAGTGAATGTTAAGAGATCACTGTCCTTGAGAAGTTTAAAATCATGGGGTCAGTTTGAAGATGATTTGGCCAATGTGCTGGACAGAATCATGGCTCCTCCAAATGACCACGTCCTGGGAATATGTCTTGTGTCCTGTGAATATACGGTGAGAGGGACTTTGCAGATAGATTAAGGAACTGAGAAGGGGGAGATTATTTTGGATTATCCAGAAGGGTCCAGTGTAATGGTGTGAGTTCCTAAAAGGAAAGGACTTTTCTTGGCTGTGGTCAGAGGGCAGTACAATGCCAGAAGTGAGACGGGGCATTGCTGGCTTGACACTGGGGAAGGAGCCATAAATCAACAAATGTGGGTGGCCTCTGGAAGCTGGAACCAGCAAGGAATAGGATTCCCTAGGGCCTCCAGGAAGGAAAGCCGCCCCGCTGACTCCGAGAATTTAGCCTCGTGAGACCCACGTGGGCCTCCCTACCTACAGAACTGGAGATAATATGTGTGCATAGTTTTAACGAGGCCACCCAGTTGGTAGCAGAAATAGAAAAACCAGCGCAGTTTTAAAGCGCGTCCAAATAGGAATGTTCAATGTCGTTCTACATTAAGTCAGCGCTTCTGAAACCCATGCAGCACAGGGAACAAGAGTCCCTAACCCCTTACCAGCTCCTGGAGATGAGGACTCGAACACGCTGGAGGAGTCGCTGTACGTGTTGGAAGCTTGTTCTGAGAGCTTCTTTTTGCCACTTCCTTCCGACGACTTGTGCGATTTCTTCTTATTTTTCACCAAAATTTTGTACATTAAGTCCATAGGGCTTGGAAGAGGAACTCCAGATTCCAGCTAATGGAAAAGAAAAGCGCCTTCTGTAAAAATATCGCACCGTTAGGGGTGCCCTGGCCGGCTCGGTCGGCAGAGGGTGTGACTCAGGATCTCGGGGTGGTGAGTTCGAGCCCCGCGTTGGGGGTAGAGATGACTTACAAATAAAATCTTAAAAAAAAATATTGCCCCTTTCTTTCAGCTTCCCTCCCCAAGGCGCCAGGACGGTGTTGGACACCAAGAGTTTCTAGATTATTCATTACTGCCTTCAGTACAGCCGAGTAAACTCTTGTAAGTGTGTTTTGCTGTTTCGCAGTTCTTTATTTTTTCACATGAAAGGCATATTTTAATTACCGAACTCTTTTTTTTTTTTTTTTTTTCCATAACAAAATCCCCATGAATAAGACCATCGAAATGTACTGGGAGACTTGCTAATCCAAAGGTTCAGGAGTTTGCTGTGGACCGTAAATCCAACCATTTTGGGTTCGGACAGATAGGAGGGCCCTGCCTTGGATTTTCAAAGGAGGGAGGCCAGTTAGTGTGGCGTCTGTCAGGAAGGGTTGGTAAAGATGGGCAGGAGCTTCCAGGCAAGCATACAGAATCAACCTTTCAGATGCAGTTTAAAAGGAGGAAACTCTCCTTCCTCCCTCCCGCCATGCAGAACTCTGGAGCTAAGCCACACATGTCCTTGGCATCAGCAGGACTGGACTGGTGGCTTCATATTTCCTTGCAGCCCCGAGATTCAAGCCACCCTTATTGGCAAAGCTTATTTCTTGTGTTTCGAGCTTGCATGGCTAATGAGAAAAATCAATTTCCCATGAGAGGGTTGTTAGATATTGTATCAGAGAGCATGCGTGCAAGTCCCAAGATGGGTTATTTTTAGAAAGTTCAGTGAACTCTCCTACACTGGTCCTTTATTCTTGCAAGGAGTCGGGAGATTGGTATGAAGCCATGTACAAATGTGCGGAGACAAGGGAAAAGGGTTCAAGAGGGGAGAGGCTACTTTGAGGTATTCCTATTGCTTTCCTTCCCAAAGCAGGGATGCTATCAGGGCAATAGGAGCCCTGAGTTCCATGAACAGGCACATGCAAGGACGTGAGGAGTGGACGCAAGGCCAGAAGGGGGTGTCATTGTGCCACCTGCCACGTCCCATTCTGCTCTACCATATCTCTCAAAGGGTGTGATAAGGTTCCTGGTTGGTGATCAGAGCCCCGTCTGCCAGGAATGTCTCCGCGGCTGATTGTGATGGGGGAGGGGGGGATTCTGTAGTCCTGACAGTCACATCGGTCAGAGGGGGAAGGAGAAGATGGAGGGTACAGGAAGAAGACAGAGGCATTTCTCTCAGCCTCAGCAGGGCACACTGAAGGTTTCCTCCTGGTCAGACTTCATTAACAACTGAATGAATCTTACTGAGCAACATGGAAAGGATGTAAGGAAGTCCCCCCCCCCCCCAACTCCAGGGGCATTCCTTCAAGGGTAAACCTTGAAACTGCTTACTGGGTATTTTTCCAGTGGTTCCATGAGAAGAGCGTCTCCAAAGATCAGTCGGCAATACTCCGCCATCTTGGCTTGCTGCTTTGGGCTAAGGGGAATGAGAGAAAGAAAGCAAACAAGGAGGCTCATTTAAAGAGTTTGGACAGGATTACTTTTCGTTATTAATTATAGAAAGAGGAGATTCCCTCTCTTACCCTTCAGGATTAGTATTTATCATTCTAACCCCCTTGTTTATTATCCTGACTTCTGTGAATTTGAATACCACATGGCAGATAGACAGTGAAAGCTATTCCTAAGGCTGGTCTCCATAGACACAGAGGGAGAGTATAGCAGGTCATCTGCCAGTCACTGGATTCTTGAATGTCTCAGAATTATGGGCTCAGTTCCTTTTGTTCAATTTCCTGATTCTAAGTCAAATGCAAGACCTTGGAGGCAGAACTCATCCGTGAGTCCGGGTGAATTCTTGGTTGAGATTTATCTAACCTGCAGAGAGCTAGGCTGTGGAGGAGTGTTTTTAAGGAGGTGAGAGAGGAGGAGAGGGAGGAAAAGAGGGGGAGAGAGAGAGAGAGAGAGAATCTTAAAACACAGAAGGGCCGTCAGGCAGAAGTGTGTCCACTTGGGAGGGGATCCTGGAGGAAAGGTAAAAGAAGCAGGCACATTGGGGAAAGGTGTCTGCACCCCTTATGTGCATAATAGGGCAGCAGAGGTGGTGTCAGCCTGACTATGGACCAGGAGGAATCTGGTCTGATAGACAAAGGCTGGAGCTGTAGGCTTTGCTGAGCTGAGCTCCAGGCTCTCAACCACTCTGGATCTATAAAATGAGGATAATAACTGTTCTTGGAAAAGGACAGAAGGTGCCGAGAAGATGAAGTGGAGTAATGGTTGCAAATGCCTTTGACCCGTTTAAAGAGTGGGGCAGATGTAAGATGATCCAGGGTTAGGAGGCAGCCTCCACTCAGCTGGATGACTTGTGCACTTGCTAACACAGAAACACTCGATGCGAGGGAACACCTGCATCTTTCAATACTCCTGCTTCCTTTGACCTTTTAAAAAGCAATAACATTTTTTTTCTTATTCTGTAGAATGTTAAATATCATTACAAAGGTATCCAACTCCACTGGGTTTTATGGACTGTGAGTTTGATCTACAGGCTGTCAAACTTGATTTCCAATAGTTGTCTCTGTCTGCTGTAATGTTAATACATTTTAGCAGAACTGGGATTATAGTAAGAATAAGTAAGTGATAAAAAAAAGTGATAAAAAAAGTCTTCTCTATTACAATTCAAATCAATTATAAAATGTGATTCTCTCTTTCTCTCTTCTGTAACTATTAAGCCTGGATCATGGACTGCCCCCCCGCCCCCGGGAAGGGGGTGCTCTGGGGATTCAAATTGTATTGCAATGGTCCACAGGGAAAACCACTTTTTATATCCTTTTTTAAAGGCATATAGTTTTTGGGGTCAAGTGAGTTCTCTGGGGTTCAAGTGGAAGCCCAAAGCCACTGCTTTGTTGGAACTGCAGGGAGAGGCGAAGAGAATCAAAGAACTTGCAAAGCCCTGCAGAACGACCTCCTAGCTTCTCGCCGTCGTCCTTTCTTGACCTATAGGCGATTTTACCATGTGGCTTATGCAGCCCTCAGAATATTCCTCACCAGGATCAGGGAGAGGGGAAAACTTGCCACCCAGAGGACTGATCCTAAAAAGCATGGGGGTGGTTGTTTAAGGACAAGTCACTAGAAGTTGGGGAGCAAGCAGAGAGGTGGCTGATTTGGCAGAGCAGTCTGGGTATCCTCTGTTCAGATGCTGTTGCCCAAAGGATGACTAGCCCGGGGGCTCAATAAAGCCAAACAGCTCTGTGGCTGTAGCTACGACAAGTCCACCTGTGCCCGGCCAACTCGTTCCAGGCTGCACAGGAGAAACTGTCCAAACCCTTCATTTCGCTTTCACAGAATGACGCTACTCAGTGTCACAGAGCTTTGCTACTCCAAGTGTGGGCCACAGACCAGTAGCATCAACATAACAGCACCTAGAGCTGGTCAGAAATGCAGATTCAAGGCCTCCAGTGCAGATTCTGAGTCAGACTCTCTGGAGAAGCGGGGCGCAGGGGTCTTCACAGACCCTCTAGGTGATTCGGATGCATGCTCAAGTTTGAGAACTGTTGTGATAGATTAAAATAAGTCAGCAGGTGCTGAAGGAGATGACATTTTTCTTGAGTGTTGGAACTTGGGAGCCCCTAGTTCCTTTGACCAGAGACCTAGAGTAAAAAGAGAGAGTTTTACCCTAATGCCCTGCTTTCAGGAATTTTAGGGAGCCATATTCACACCAGTGGAGGGATTTCGAGGCGATGTTCCAGGTGTCTCTAAGCAGGTGACAGGCAGAGTCCTCTGTCCTTTCTCAAGCTGTCCCCAAACCAGACCCTAGGAAGGATTTTGCTGGAGCAAAATCTTGCCTGATTCTACTAAAGAATCACTGGAGCTGTTAATGCTGCAGGTGGTAGGGCTGAGAGCCAGGCCCTGATTCACTGAATTGGGAGAGGAATCCTGAAACCTGTATTTGTAACAAGCTTGCAGGCAGCTCTGATGCGGGTAGTTAGTGGACTACAGTGTTTAAAGTAACGCTCTGACACTTCATCCAAATTACCTGGGGTCTTAAGAAAATGACACTTCCTAGGCAGCATCAGCGTGGGGCCTGAGATTCTGCATTTCTTTCTTTTTTTTTTTTTAAGTAAACTCTACCCAAAACGTGGGGCTCAAACTCACGACCCTGTGGTCAAGATTCGCATGCTCTATTGACTGAGCCAGCCAGGTGCCCCGACTCTGCATTTCTACCAAGCTCCTCAATGATGCAGATGCTGCTGGTCTGCGGATCAGGCACTCTGAAGAATAAGGATCTAAATCTGACGTTTTCAAATTTGCCTCAAAATCAACTGAGGTGAAGAGAACAAGAGGGAGTTTTCCAAGAAAAAGTAAAATGGGTTACTTGGTAATCAGGCTGTTCACACACACGCACACACACACACACACACACACACACCTGTCAGGAACCGAATCAGAGCAGAGAGGAGAGTGAATAGACAAAGTCAGAGGAAAACCAAGCAACTTTGTGGGTCAAAACTGCAGAAATAAAAGACATTCACATTGCAGTTAGAGAGCAAGAAAAAAAAAAAAATCCTGAGGCGCTCAGAGCATCCACATCAGCTACTGTGGAGACGAAATGACAGGAAATACTCACAAATACATTTTGAGCTTCAGACCATAGCAGGCACATCTGGGCATAGTCACATACCCCTAAAGTGGAGGCACCTGGCCCAGTGGTCAGTTTTCTGACCAAGGACTGCGCCCCATGAAATGTCATGGTGTAAATCCTCCACATTGAACTAAACCAACCTCCTTCTTTATAGAGGAGGAAGCTGTAACCCTTGGAAATTAAGGACCTTGTCCAAAATCTCCCATTATCTGTGGTTGAACCAGAGCTAGGGGTTACTTTGTTTGAGTTTAGTGTAGAATCCTTTTAATGAAAATGCTAGCTTATAAATTAGGTGGAGCATCAGAGTTAGCTAGGGCCTTTTTTTTTTTTTTTTCTTTTAAGATCTCAAAGTCTCATTTCTACAGATTCAAAATGGGGTATGGGAGTATGGTTCAGGAATCTGCATTTTATGGGATTCTGATGGGAGCAGGGAGAGAAGGATGAATTGCCAGCACCTAATGGCAGACCTCCCTTTGTTGTTCATAGATAGGGAATTTCAAGTACTTGGAGGGAAAATTAAAAATCCAGTAGATTTCTTCCTTTCTTCCGGGGTGAGTTTGTTTTCGAAGTGTGTCTCAAAGGACCCTGACCCACAGTTCTGAATCTGGCATTTTGTAGATGCAGCATACCGGAAAATGAAATGGTCCACTAGAGATGGCAAAAAGGTGGCGGATATTTTTTGTGGGGGGGTGTCTCTTGGTCAATGTGTTGCAAAGGATTCTGAGGTTTATTTCTAGGTGTGGGCAAGAGGGCTGCACGTGAAAAATGATGACTGCCACTGGGTTCAGCATTGAAGTGAGGTGGCCCACATGTCAAGCATGGGGTTTTACTAGCAAAGGGAAAAAGCTTACCAGTTTTCTTTGGGTGTGTGATAATCCTCACAGGAGAGGATTGAAGCTGAGCGATTTTGACATGTGAAGCTCCAGGATCATGGAAACATGAAACAAACAGCTTTCCCCCACGATAGACCTCAGTATCTTACTATTTCACTGCCTTAGGTGTATCTCACTGGTTTGGGGTAACTATCATGGCATCCTGTTTTCTTTTGTGTTTTCCTGTTTTCTTTTGTGACATATGAATTACTAATAAACGTTTAATAGCTAAATATCTCATTTTTAAACCAGAAAGGACAGTATCATGATACTGTCTTCTTGCTTTTGTGTGCAATGCAAGGTTTGGTTTTCATGCGCTATTTTGGCTCCCTATGGGTTTGGTGTTGAAAAACCACAAAAAATGTCCTGTGGTTAAGGGTCACAAGCCACATAAAAGTGAACATTTACAGAGAGTTGCCTTGTCGATGTTCTGGTTGTCTTAATTTGATATTTTGAAGGCTCCAGATGCATCTGCTTAAGTGTGGGGATAGTGCTGGTGAAACGTGTGATTTCTGAAGCCAGACCAGACAGATTTGAATCCCAGCCGTGTCACCTTTTAGCTGCCTGGCTTTGGGTAAGTTACTCACTCTCTTTGGGGCTCAGTTTCAACATCTACAAAATAGGGATTATCACAATAATATTTATTCTTAGGAGCCCCTGGGTTTGTGGTGAGGGGTTACATGACCTTACGCCTGTAAGGTTGCTTGGCACATAATATAAACTCAATAAATATTAGCTGTTATTATGTTTGTGGTGGTAGGTAGTTGTTGATAGCTCTCTGGTTCCCTTATAGGAAAGTTCAATGGGGCAGGTGTGAGAATCAAGAGTGGAACTAGAGCTTTTCATCTTGTCTAATTTACATAGAAACATTTCTTGAAGACCATAAATATGCTAGATTTGGAGATATTTCTCAAAAAGAGATATAATACATCTATAAGTCTGGGAACTACGGTGCCTGAAAGAAAGGTGCTAAAAGCCTGTTAGAGCCCAGTTACAGATGGATGGGCAGAGATGAGAAAACACTCATGCGCGAGTCAGGGTCATCACAGCAAATGAGGTATTAAATACAGCAACTCAAGAGGCGCTCCCTTCAGTTCGAAGAGAGATAGCAATGAAACAGAATCAATTCTTTTCTCTTCAGCTGCCCCTCGGAAGTGTTAGAAAAACTATCTGCCAAAGGATTAAATCATTCATTGGCTGTTTCCCAGTGCAACAGAACCAAGAGCTGGTAAATGTAATATGGATTTCCTGAGGGCAAACTAGAAATACAGATAATTATAAAATTGGTTACTTCAAAACAAGGCCTTTCTCCATGATCACAGTAACAAATGATCACATTTACTTGGAAATTCCTCAGGCTGAAATGTGCTCATGACCAAACTGTTTAAGATTTTAGTGAATTCTTAAAGAATTCGTAAATTGAAGCATGTGTTGCAAATTAGTTGGACAAAGGGAATCAATCAGTAGCTTGGGAAAGACTTTTCAATAAGAAGAAGGGTAAAAAAAGAACCCGTGAGCCACATTAGGACAGGCGCTGTTGGCTTTTAGTTGAGAAATCTGGCTCAGGTTGTTGAAAGAGAGGGCATCACAAATACTCCTTTGAGCAATGGTGGTCACTTCTACACAGTCTTCAGCCTTTCATTCCATGGACTAGAATTTTAGTTTCTTGAATTTTGATTCAAAGTAGAGAAAACTCTTTCATTTTGAAGCACTTTAAACTAAGTAACGATAGGGTAAACTAATGCCCACATTTTAGATAGAAACATGTCTTACTCTGGCATTTTGTGATAAAATGAATATAAAATAGTTAAGTCAAAGTATCTTTTCTTTGTGTGGCTCAGCGATAAGGGCAGGCTATTTTTGAAATAGGACCACATTTACAAATACTAACGAACAAGGGCAACCAATGGGAAGAGGAAGGAGGAGCATCTGGTGGTCTGAGTTCTGTGTAAGCTCAGCAGTGGAAGAGAATTTACAGCTTTCTCCCCACCAACTCCAGAGTGTTCAGAACTGGCCATTTGAACTGGCGATTTTTGCGTGGCAGAACAGACTATAAATGTGCATGCAATAAAAGGAGGTAATGAAGGAGGATTATAAAAATGGCCCACCAAAAGAGAGACATGGTATTATTCTACACCATTGGAAAAAGAGGAGTCCTTAATTTAAAATCCTGTGACCTGAAAATAGATTCCCCAAGTCCAGTGAATTATTGTAATGTTAAAGAGGTTTAAGTGAGTGAATCCCAACATATGCAGATGAAAACATGACACTTAAGACATAACATCATTGAGGAACACCATTAATAATGTCAAATAATCTTAAATCTGATGCACAATTATTAAACATGCCTTCTTTGGGAAAAAGACTCCCCAGTGAATGTGTGGAATACTTACGAATCTACGTGGTTCTCAAATGAAAGCAGAATTGGAAAAGGTGACGTCTTAAATGCACACTCAGCAATTGCTTCTATCACTTCCTAAAAACGAGAACATGCATATATTCAATATGCCAGAATTCTAATGTGTATGTATGGGCATAGTAACCCCTTTGGGTTACTATGCCCATTAACGGGGTTGCCTTTTCCTTCATAGAATTGTATGAAAAGGCCTGAAGTGGCTAGAAGGGGCTGTGCAAGCTGCTGGACTATACATTTTCTGATTCTTTTCTTTTTTTCTTTTTTTTTTGGTAAGATTTATTTATTTTAGAGAGAGAGAGCATGAGCAGGGAAAGGGGGAGAGAGAGAAGCAGACTCCCCGTTTAGCATGGAGCCCAATGCAGGGCTAAATCCCAGGACCCTGAGATTGTGACCTGAGCCGAAATCAACAGTCAATTACTTAACTGTGCCACCCAGGTGCCCCTAATTTTTTTTTTTTTTAAGATTTTATTTATTTATTTGACAGAGAGAGAGACAGCAAGAGAGGGAACACAAGCAGGGGGAATGGGAGAGGGAGAAGCAGGCTTCCCGTGGAGCAGGGAGCCCGATGCGGGGCTCGATCCCAGGACCTGGAATCATGACCTGAGCCGAAGGCAGACGCTTAACGACTGAGCCACCCAGGCGCCCCGCCCCTAAATTTTTTGATTCTTGACTTAACAAAGTAGAAAGAAAGAAGACTGGTTTGGTGGAGGGGGAGACAGAATTATAAAAGACAATCGTTCTTCTATTTGCTAATTATATACATATATTACTTATAAGTATACTTATTATATTTATATTTTTTAATGAAAGACCTAATCACATTATAAAAATTTTGGACGAGAGAAGGCAACAATTTTCGGCCATACATTCACCCTTTGAACCAAATCACTGTTGGTATTTGTTTATAATTACTTCTAGTTTGTTTTTCATTTGTTTGTATAACTTGGTTTTCTTTAAATACTCCACTTGTATTTTTTTGAACATTGTTATTGCGATGTAACCTTATTGAAATACAATGCAACCATTTAAAGTGTACAATTGGACAGTGTTTAGTACATTCACAGAGTTGTGCAACCGTCATCCCAATCTAAATTAGGACATTTTTATCACCCCCCAAAGAAACCACATACCCATTAGCAGTCACTTCCTATTTTCCCCACCCCATTCCCATGCACCCTGCCCAAGGCAACCACTAATCTACTTTCTGTCTCCATAGATTTGCCTATCCCAAACATTTCATATAAATGGAATCATACAATAGGTGGCCTTTTATGTTCTGGCACTTTTCATTTAGCATGATTTTGAGTTTCATCCATGTTGTAACGTGTATTAGTACTTCATTCCTCAGTCTGTATTTTTAAGGAATATGTATGTCATAAGATTTAATAGTTGTATAAAATTCTAGGGAGTAGTAGTATTATAATTGATTTAACCATTACCCAACTGTTGGACAGACGTATTTAAAGAGCTATCATTCAGATAGTTCTACAAAGAACATCTCCATTTTTTCCTAGTATTTTGAATTACTTTCCGGGAATGAATTCTCAGAAAGGAAATTACTGAATTAAAGAATATGAATACTTTTATAGTCTCCTGCATTTCTCCAAATTATTTTTCATCTTTGATTGCCTAGAGTAATGTATGAAGGATCAGATTTCAATGCATATCCAACCAGCTTTGGGCCCCAGCTTTTCAATATGTTTTTCTTATTGAACTGGTATACTCATACGTTTGTTTTTTAGTTGCATTTATTCTTTTCATAGTCTCCTTTCAAGTAGGAATTTCTACTCTCATTCCTTATGTCCGAGACTTTTCCACTATCTTCTCTCCCTTCTTTAAACAATACATTGCTTTCTTTATATCTTTGTGAGAAAGCTATTTCCCTGGCCCCAGAGTATAAATAAGGCTTTCTAATTCTGTACTACACTTGCATATATCCTCTGAAAAGGATCTGCCTGCACTGAGCAAAAGAATCACTCACTGTTTCTTAGAAGTGAAGTCACAGATTGCCTTTCATACATTATCCGTTTAACTTTTACGATCGTTGATGCCATCAAAAATAAGTGCACTATAAATAGCAAGCAACACCAAGACTTTAAATTCTTGATTTATTTGAGGACAAGCTTCAGATTCAAACAGGCTTGCGTTTGAATCCTAACTTCTTAGCTTTACAAACTGTGTCACCTTGGGAGAAATCACTTAAAGCCTCTGCGCATTGGCTTGCTGATAAGTAAAGTGAGGGTGATAAGCCTCATTCCACAGCCTGTTGTGAGGACCCAGGGAGAAAAGGTAAAGGATCCATCCATCTCTTGATGAGCATATATTCTTAAATCAACTCAGGTTTCTTACAGTGCTGATGCCTCTGTCCTCACTCACGTTAAACCTTTCCTCTTAGACTCTTACTAATAACAACAAGAGCTACCATTAAATGAGCATTCCAGACACTCATGCTATAAACATTCTCTAAGGAAAACTTCTCCACCAATACAGATTATAAAATGGAGGCTCAGAGATATCAACCAATTTGCCCAAGGTCACAAAGAAGAGAATCTAAGAAACCCCAGGAAAATTTACCTGACTATCTAGAGTTTATGCTCTTAACCATGGCAGTAACTCTCATGTAGCTAATGACCTTAACCACCAAAGATCAAAGCCCTCAAAATAACTGCAAATAGATATCATAAAGAAAGTAGCTGTTAGGGCGCCTGGGTGGCTCAGTTGGTTAAGCGACTGCCTTCGGCTCAGGTCATGATCCTGGAGTCCCTGGATCGAGTCCCGGATCGGGCTTCCTGCTCGGCAGGGAGTCTGCTTCGTCCTCAGACCCTATCCCCTCTCAGGTGTTCTCTCTCATTCTCTCTCTCTCAAATAAATAAATAAAATCTTTAAAAAAAAAAAAGAAGAAAGTAGCTGTTAAGTGTGAATAAAAAGGAGCTAGATTTTGTTGATTTCATAAATTTGGCCCTATTGTATCAGCTAAATGCAAAACATTAGAGCCATTATTGACTTCTCTTTCTCTAGTATCTTGATTTGTCAGCAATCCAGTCTAAAATTTATCCAGAATATAACCACATCTCAGCACATCTCTATCATCTTGCCCCCAAAAACCTCTGCAATTAACTGCTTTTGTAGATTTCATCAACGTTCCCACATATTCACTACCCCTTCCTGTGAGATGTTGACAATTGACATGGCCATGACCTTTGTTTTGGCCATTGAACTGTGTATGAAAATGACATACTGAACACAGTCTTTAAAGAGCCACCATGTGATTCTGCCATTTCTCTTTCCCCTCTGCCGGGAACCCAGTGATATCACAGATTGGGCTGTTCTTTCCATATGGCATATAGACGGTATCAATCAGAGCAATAGCCAACATCTAACCTGAATGAGTAATAAACCTTTGTGGCTCTAAACCCCTGAAATTCGGAGGGGAAGGGGAGCTCCTGTTACTGCAGCAAAACCTAGCAGAGGCTTCTACGTTTCCCCCTATATTACATACCACAGTCAGAGTGATTGCTCTTAAACGAGTCAGATGATTTCACTCCTTTAGAGTAAACCGTTCATTGGACTTCCATTTCACAGAAATCCAAATCCTTTATTAGATCTGGCACCTGTTATCTCTAAATTCATCACCTTTTCTTTTCCCATTGCTCACCCAGATATAGTCTACTGATCTTTTCTTGCTTTTCCTCAAATATGTCAAGCACAATTTCATTTCTGTTCATCTCTTTCATTTCTTCGTTCATCTTTGTTACTTCTGTTAGGAATTCTCTTACCTGAAAGCAAGACTCACTTACTTAATTTTGCGGGTGGTGGTCTCTGCTCAAATGTCATGTCACCCAAGTCTTTTTCCCACCACCCTACTGAAAAGAGCATACCTTAACCCCCTTTTCCTTCAATACTTACTTGTGTTGCCTTAAACAGCATGTCTCCATGTGCCATAGTGTATGTTTATGTTGGTCTATCTCTTCCCCACTAGAATATAAGCTTCTTGGAGATAAACACTCAGTTTTCTCCATGACTCTGTCCCTAGGGCTTTGGAAGTGCTAAGGAATATTCTAGACATTCACTAAATATTTTCTTTTTTTTTTTTAAGATTTTCTTTATTTTTTTTGAAAGAGCGAGAAAGCACAAGCAGGGGCAGCAGCAGAGGGAGAGGGAAAGGCAGGCTACCCGCAGAGCACGGAGCCTGATGCAGGGCTTGATCACAGGACCCTGATATCATGACCTGAGCCAAAGATAGATGCTTAACCGAGTGAGCCACCCAGGCGCCCCAACCCTGATTAAATATTTTCAAATAAATGAATGAACTCAACATTCTTAACAGAAGGGAAACTTTATTTTTATAGTTGTATTCCAATTTAGTCTTCTATTGACTATTTCAGAGGTCAGCACACATTCCACAAAGGGCCAGAGAGTAGGTATTTTAGGTTTTGCTGGCTATATGGTTTTTATGGCAATTATTCGACTTTGCCTTTGTAGACCCAAAGAAGCCACAGATAATATGTAAACATGTGGATGTGCCTATGTTCCAACCAAACTTAGTTCATAAAAACAGGTGGCGGGCTGAATGAGGCCTGTGGAAGGTAGTCAGTCAAACCCTGGGCTAGTTTGATCAGTGGCTTAAGCAAAGCTTAAAACTCAATTGTAACCACAGGCAAATGTTATTTTGCATTAAAGAAGTTTAAATATTTGTTCCATACTCAATAGCCCAGTTAACTTTAACAATTTCATGGCCAAAATTTCCAATCAAGGTTGAGTGTTGCATTAAAGAAAAGATCTTTCTTTTTTTTAATTAAAAAAAATTTTTTTTTTAAAGATTTTATTTATTCATTTGAGAGAGAGAGAGCACAAGCAGGGAGGAGCGGCAGGCAGAGGGAGAAGGGGAAGCAGGCTCCCTGCTGAGCAAGGAGCCTGACCCAGGGCTCGATCTCAGGACCCCAGGATCATGACCCAAAAGGAAGGCAGACACCCAACCGACTGACCCACCCAGGCTCCCCTAAAGAAAAAAATCTTTCAAACAAAAAAGTATATAAAAGTGTAATTAGTCTTTGATAACT